CAGGCAGATTCTACTCTGCGAAATTTTAGATCCATCTTTTACTACAGCAGCGTAAGAGAAAAACATACCTCTGACGTATTTAAGTTAACATTAAAATAATCTTTTGTCTCTTATTGTAGAAATAGCTGTGAGACATGTGTAAAAAGACAAGTGGAATAAACAATTAGACAGCTGTGTTCTTCAAATGATAATTACATATAGAAAGATGTTCTCTTTTTTGTTAAAATAGCTGACGCAGAATCTGCGCCCGACATGCAGTTATACTACCACGAATGTGACGCGATATGTATTAGATAAAAACGTGTAATAAAAACATTGTATTGCCGACAGCGTATTTACAATTGCCGTTTAAAGTGTAATATTCCAAGGTTTGTTTATAACTTGAAATCGATTGGAATATTCACGTCATTAAGTATAAAAAATGTACTGAGAAACTATCAAACTATACTTAATTCTGATCATTAATATGTTAAAAATTAATGATCCGCTTCGTGTCGAAATACTAAGCAATTAGACACCATGCAACAATGTTCTTCTGAAAATAGTAACATACCAAAATAAATGTATCTCCGATATTTGAAGTAACATAGCATTACATCTGTGCCAGAATTGTGATATCAGTTGGCTTTGCAATATTATTGAGATCAAAATTCTTTTTTGCGTTATACGGAATTCTTAATTATAATTATAGTTTTTGTTTTCTTTTTCTTAAATATAAATGTTTCAATTTATCGATTAAATGCGAGTAAATCTCATAATGCAAACGTAATTATTTTATGTATTGTGTGCGATCTGCGAATGCCGCAAATGCGATAAATCTCGAATTCAAAAATATATTTGTGAATTTATTTGTAAAATTATTTGTGAAACGTGTGTAAAACATGAGTACTTTTCTTGGAAAAAAATGCTGAGATTAAACTTAACAAAAATCAATTACTGAAAGCAGTCAATACATTTTTCTGCGTCAGTCAATAAAATAATATTATAAATATAAAATAATATTATATATATTTTAAAGATTTCAAATTTCAAATAAAATAATTTCATCATTATCAAGTTTAAATGATATAAATTTTCAACAATATATGTACATGTAGTATGTGAGATATCTAGTTAATATTTCGCAAATATTTAAAAATAAGAAATTTGCCGTAAATATTGAAAAGAAAAATAGATTAACATTTCTCGTAGGTATATAAAATTGCGCATATAAGTTTAAAATAGTATTTTTTACTTTCAATAATATAATATGTAGAGTGTAATATAATACGACATAGTAAAATGTGATACGTCTCTAGTAATAATACTGCGTAATAACATAATCTAACAAAACACAAAAAATAATAATGCATACCTTCAGATGTATCTATTTACTTACAAAGACATCAAAGACTGCTATGGTTGATCAGTATACGATTATAATAAGTAGTTTTAACATTTCTTAAGCATATGTAGATTCAGCAATCATGTTATTTTTCATAATTCATGCTTAAGGGGATCCTAAAGTGGTCTGTTTTACCTATTTTTTTCAAATACACTTAACTTTCTTTTGGCTGTGTAGAATAAAAAGTCCTTTTCTGTAAGTAAAGTACATATGCTAATACACTACGGATGGTCGATTTAAAAGGATTTTTCAAGCCACGCAGCCAAAAAAAACAAATTTTATGAAAAATAAAAGGTAAAACAGAGACGTATCTGTTTTACCAGAAGTGTAAGTTGAAGTTTGCCGGTTTTTACAGTAGGTGTTGCTAGCAGGATGTAGGCATTTCTATGATTTGTTATATACACGATTGTTTTCTATTGACATTAACCTTCAAAAACACCTAAGTCTCATTCTGTCAAAATAATAGCGTCATAGTCGTTTAATATCAATGAATATGTCGAGTTTCGTTCCAAATAAAGAGCATTTGCGGTATTCGTTGCTTTTCTTATTTCATCAAAAGAAAAAAGCAGCTGAAGCACATCGTTTGCTAGTAGAAACTTATGGTGAACATGCTCCAGTGATTAGAACATGTGAGACATGGTTTCGTCAATTTAAAAGTGGAGATTTCGATTTGAAAGACAATGAACATCCTGGTGCAGTGAAAAGGTTTGAAGACGAGGATTTGCAGGTGTTGTTGGATGAAGACCCAACTCAATCACAACAAATATTGGCAGAAAAACTTAATGTGTCCCGAGTAGCAATTTGTCAACGTTTAAAAGCCATGGGAAAAATCCAGAAGTATGGAAAATGGGTGCCACACGCATTGAACGACAGGCAAATGGAACATCGAAAAACCATTTGTGAAATGCTGCTTCAACGGTTCGAAAGGAAGTCTTTTTTGCATCGAATTGTCACGGGTGACGAGAAGTGGATTTTTTTTGAGAACCCGAAGCGAAAAAGATCATGGCTTTCACCTGGTGAAGCCGCCCCATCCACTGCAAAGCCCAATCGCTTTGGCCGTAAGACAATGCTCTGTGTTTGGTGGGACCAGGATGGTGTGGTGTACCACGAACTATTAAAACCTGGTGAAACGGTAAATACGGATCGCTACCGACAACAAATGATCAATTTGAATCATGCGTTGATCGTTAAACGACCGGAATGGGCCCGAAGACATGGCAAAGTTATTTTGCAACATGACAACGCACCGTCTCATACCGCTAGATCCGTGGACACATTAAAAGCACTTAATTGGGACATATTATCGCACCCGCCGTACTCTCCAGACCTCGCCCCGTCCGACTTCCACCTTTTCGTCATCGATGGAGCACTCACTTGCAGAGCAGCACTTCGTTCAATTTTGTAAGAAGTTGAAAAATGGCTCGTCGAATGGTTTTACCTTCGAAAGAAGAAAAAGTTTTTTTGGAATGGTATCCATAATTTGCCTGAAAGATGGACGAAATGTGTAGAATCAAATGGTCAATACTTTGAATAAAAATATTTTGAGATTCCCTTGAAAATTATGTGTTTTTTTTAACGAAAAAACCGGCAAACTTCAACTTACACTCCTGGTACCTTCTATTTTTCGTAAAATTTGTTTTTTTGGCTGCGTGGCTTGAAAAATCCTTTCAAATCGACCATCCGTAGTGTATTAGCATATGTACTTTACTTACAGAAAAGGACTTTTTATTCTACACAGCCAAAAGAAAGTTAAGTGTATTTGAAAAAAATAGGTAAAACAGACCACTTTAGGATCCTCTTAACAACAAAGTATAAAATTAAACTAATTTTAGATTTTGTAATCTCTCTATATAGGCTAAACAATATTGAATTGAATATTACGAGAGGGTCGCAAGTGCAAGTGCACCATGTATTAAACTTACAACCTTCGGTTTAATCTAATGTCGCGACAGTTAGATTGGCCTATCATAAATTGCTCTCCGGAACATTGCTCTTATTTTTATCGAAGACATAGACATAACACGACACTTTTGTTGATTATGCAGTATGATGAGAAGCGATTTCTTGTCGTGAATTATCTCGTGGTTATATTATACGTATTATACGTATGTATAACGTATATTACATATGTGTTATTAACTATTAAAACAGAAATTTATTCTGCTGCAATTTTATTTATGCAATACATAACATGGATATCCACATATCTACAAATTAATACAGTTAAAACCGTTTTTTAATATTTAAACAATATAAAATTAGTTGTCTATAAAATTGTGTTAAAAAATAAAATCCAAATAAAAAATTTTTTAGTTTAAAATTTTTTATTTGGATTTTATTTTTTAACACAATTTTATAGACAACTAATTTTATATCGTTTAAATATTAAAAAACGGTTTTAACTGTATTATTTAATTAAATCGATATCCATTGCGTAAAGAAAAATGCTTCGGCAAAAGTAAGGTTCAAGGTTCAAGGCAAAAGTAAGGTTCAATTTTCAAATGCTAGTTTTGCAACATGTATAAAATATCAATAATATCATATGTTAATAACTTTTTAAATTAGAAATGATCATGGTACTCACTGTGATTCTAAAAGTTTCTCGCAAACAGGAAAATAATTCGCAAGGTTATATTACACGTACGTGTACTTACATATTGCATTTGAGTATTACACTCTTGTCACTTTTAACAAATGGCAATAATAGTTAGTTCATATAGGAATGAGTTTTTTTTTTTTTTTTTTTTGGACCTGAGCTCACACACTGCGGTCATACATACACATATATACACTATCTCATTTACACATTGCATGTAGAGAGTTGTGAATTAGACAGTTTAACAGTGTGAATTAGATTAGATTAGGTTATTTTTTTTATAACAGTTTGCGCTTGCGCAGCTGCTTAATATCGCGGTAGCTGAGTGGCTAATGGCGGGGACTTTTTCTTTATACATATCTAATAAAAAAAAAAAAAAACAAAAAAAAAGAAAGAAAAGAAAAAAGGAAAGTAAAGGAAGAAAAAGGAAGAGTTTTTTTGTTAGAGAATAATAATTTAGCATATGTAGAAATCATCCAAAGCAATATTTGGATATACATATATGAACATAAATTTTCCTTACAAATTAGCATTTTATCTATTTTATCTTTAACAATTTAACAAACTTTTTTTGAGAAAATAAAATATGTATATTGTAACGAATTACAAAATTACCATAAAAATAAAACCATAGTTTTATTTTTAAAATATATTGTAACAAATATTTGTGTAATATACTTATTTTTTTACTCATAGAATAATATTAAATTATATTAAAAATTGACGTTGACAAACTTGTGTGAGAAAGAAATAAAAAATGTTGTATATTTTATATCTAATCTTGCCAATTTAAAAAAAAATTATTTTTCTTCCTACACATTTGTTAAATCATACAATTTATGTGTAAAAATCTATAAAATTTTTAACTAATACTAATATAAAACAATATATTTATTATTAATTGTAATTATATTTTTGAGTGATGTGCAAGTAAACATATAATGAATGAGAAAGGAGGAGGAAAACCAATAAAAAATTGTATTTTAGTTGGTCATAACACATACAATTAAATGTTATCACATTTGTATGTATTTCAATTGTACTGAAACTAATGATGATGTATTTCCAATAAAAATCTATATATAAGTATTTATAATAATAAGTATTTATAATAATTCTATTATTGACATTTTTTGACTAAATCTTCATAATGAGGTATATTAAAATCAGATTTTTTTTCTTGTAATTTGTTATCTATCCTTTCGTCATCAGATTCTGAAAAATCATTGAAGAAGTAATTTACTGCTCCATTTTCTTTTTTGTTAGTGTTATACCCATCATTACTAATTTTTTTTCTCTTTGCTCTATAATTTTTACACTCTGTATCACTCGTTTCTTCATCTAAAAGGTAATGTATATATAAATTCATATTGATACATTGATAAATTCTGCTGTCATGTAATATTTACCAGTATCTATAATTTCATACATATACGAATGATCCTTCATAATGACATGCAATGTTGGAAATTCCACTATAGTTTTATTTTCTAAATTTTCTTTCAATGTAAGTGTAAGATCCAACTGATAAAATCTGGAAAAACAATAAATAAAATTAATATAATTACCATTTCTTTTACTTTACGTCAGGCCTGGCCAAAAGCTTGCTCGCGAGCAGCCTTCAGAGTCCCCATCCAGCAGATGCCAGGCCTGCTTTACATCTAATGTACTTATAAACTAATAAAAGTTAATATCTTATTCTATCAAATAAATGTAAAAAATATTTATTTACCGAAAGTTTGCTTTCTTTATTTTTTCAGCTTTTAATAATACTTTAATACCGTTTACTCCAGCTGCTCTATAAAATTGTAATTTATTTGCCAGAACCAATCTTGCATTTAATTCTGCAATATTAGTATCTTCTTCTAAAGAGACTGGATTTAAAACCTGGTCTAAAAGCGTCGCTAATGTAATGTTGTCTAAAGCTCTGTAAGAAACATAATGACAAATTACACTTGTAACATATAAGTATTCAAAAGTCGTTTATATTTTAAGACTACATTTATGTCCATACTTTTTCACAATCCACTTCGTGTTTTCAGCTTGTGGGAAAATCCATTCTATTCTCCAGAATAATTCATTGGTCTTCCAATTGAGAAATGTAGTGTTTTCCTTGTGCCGACTAAAGATTTGTGGCATAAATAACAGTGATACTTTTCTATAAGCTGCAGCATTCCTCAATTTATATAAGTGCTAAAAAAAAAGAGGATCTTAACTTGGTTGTAAATTTAGATAGCATGCATATAAAAAAGATTTTCACCACTGGTAAAATATTTTGACGTGTGTATTTTCTTTCTGGATTTCTTTTCTTTATATCAATTGATCTGTTAATTTGCTCAAGAAAACGATAGTCTGCAACATATACATATTAATGCCATAAAACATTGCAATTTTCTGCTCAACAATTTAGAAGAAATTTAGAATTTAGAAGAAATAGAAGAGAATATCTTACCGCTCAGTACATCCATATCAGTGAAAGACGCTAAAGGGACAAATTTTGTTTTATCACGAATTCCATCACAGTTTAGTTCCCTTTTGTGGACATTTACACACGCGAGACAGCATGATTTAACCTCACATTTTGGGCAAGTATATTTAGCTTTTGCTGCACCGCATACCTCACAGCTTTTTATTCTGAAAATAAACACAAGTGTACTTTTAATTAAGTATACTATCGCAGAAAATATTAATTGATCATTATACTAATAAATATTCGTGTCAACAGAAAATGTGTTTTTACTCACTTATCACTGACAGTAGCCATCCTGATTATCAATGGCCGCGTTCAGCAGAACAACTGCTGAATTGTCGTCTAGTCAACACTTAACGTTGATTTGTTGGTTCTAAAAGTAAGAGCCAATCACGTTCGATTGTTACCAAGCGATTTGTTCTGCTGAACGCGCCCAATGGGTGCGTTCAGAAAACACAACAGTTGCAGAACTGTTGAGTATGTCTTGTCAACACTCGACGTTGATTTGTTGGCTTTAATGGCCGCGCGGTTTATGGCTGGTTTATGCTTCGGTCTTAATCTTAATCTTAGTCTTAGTCTTAACTTAATCTTAAGGACTCGTTTATGCTTCCCTGGAAATTCGGACTACGCATGTGCAAATGTAACAAAACCTAACCACTAATTTATTTTATAATTTGGATTTTTTTTATTCCTAAACAACATCGAATTGTTGGACATATTCAATTAAATCAGCATCACTCATTTTCGTATTTTACAAAAATCGAAAACCATTATTTCGCGCGGTTTCGTGCTGCGTCGGACGTCAGACTTACCTCATTGGCCCGGCCTTAGGACATTAGGGACTAAAGTTAAAAGATGGGATCTTTCCAAGATTAAGATTAAGACTAAGATTAAGACTAGGGAAGTATAAACGCCCTTATGGCATTCTACGTTATCAACTCTTAAGATTAAGATTAAGACCGAAGCATAAACCGGCCATTATGCTTCCTGAGTCGGAGA